GATCCATCTTTTGATGGTCCAAACTAGCACCAAATGTCACAGATCACTTACTTGTTGATGAGGCAATGCCTGAAAGACTGCCGCATGCAAGACTGACCATGACAGTCGAATCATTGGGCCTGATATCAGAAGAATTGAAAACTACAATATTACAACTCAAACGAATAGGGGGACAATAAACATCACTTTAAAAAATTCAGCCCCAAATCAACCAATTATGCAGTATTCACCTTTCAGACTGTCAAAAAGACCTCAAAGCCTCATAAACTGAGAAGCTTATTGCTATACTGGGCCCAACACCCTGTGCCATAGGAATAAACCAAATGGAAATTAGTGTTAACAAAATAAAGCATCGAAGAATGTGCAGGTTCATAATCAAGCATACCAACAGCGTCGCTCCAAGTCCTTTATACAATCCCAAAAAACTTTCTTCTCTGCAAATTGTATGAAATGCATGCCCAATACCTCTGTAGCATAGTGCATTTCTCTACAAAATTCGAATACACTAATAAAAATCAAACTGAAAAAATACAATGGATGGACAGTTATAAATCATACCTAAGACCAAATTTAATGAACAAGAACTGCAATATCTGAGAAGTATGTGAAAAAGTCAGAACCGAAACCAAGAATTAGGGTTTTTTGAGGTCCTGAATGAGCAGAGGAGAAGAGAAAGAAGTCGATTGAAGACATGAAAAGAGAGGGAAATGAGAGATTGTTGAAGGGAGAGAGCATTTAACGCAGAAACCCTCTCTTTCACCTTCAAGAACCCCCTCAACAAACCCTAACATTGATTGCCGAGAGAGAATGAGAGAGTGCTGCTTAGGTTTTCGCTACAGAGGGAGAAAGAGAGTGGTGGTGGTCGATGGAGAGAAATCGCTGCGATAGGAAGATAGAACCGTGAGATAGAGAAGTCAGAAGTGTTAAGGTTGATACATCTGCTTTTATATGGAGGGCAGTTTGGTCATTTCACGTCCCCAAGTGATTATATTAGAACACAATTTGTAGCCTGATCATTTCAGCACATTATTTCTGAAACCTGATTACACCAGCTTATTTCCCTTACTCAAATCTAAAAATGAAACGGCCCACTTCACTTTTCTTATTGGGTCTCTCGTCTTTTATCGTCTTCTGGGTTTGGTTTGTAGGTCTCTCTGAGTCTGACCTAAAATTTAGGGTCTGACCCAAAAAAATTCAGGGCCCTCTCTCTTTCTGTCTCATTTGGGTCAGAGAAGTATTGAGCTCAAACTTCCCTTGAGCTGGGTAACAAAAAACAAAAGCCAGGAAATAAAAATAAAAGAATAGAGAGATCTTGCTTGCTCTCATGTTTGATTGAGAATGATATTTAAAAAGTCAAACCCAAAACTTTCACTTAAAAAAAGAAAATTCCAAATCTCCCGTACGTCCTAGGTGACATATTAAGAAAGGGCATTTTTTTTCTCCTAAATTGCCCTAACGAACCTCATTCTTTAACTGTAAATCCTACTGAAATCGTTATTTTGTTTTAGTGGTAGTCTACCGAATTTGTTTCTGTTTTTCAGTGGATGTCCACTGAATATGTTTCATTTTTCAATGGTAGTCAATCAAATTTGTTTTAGTTTTTTAGTGGCAGTCCATCGAATTTGTTTCCGTTTTTCAGTGGTAATCTACTGAATTCGTTTTTTGTTTCAGTGAATTCATTTATTGTTTTAGTAATCATTTACCGAATTCGTTACTCAGTTTGTACTTAATATTATTTTTTAGATATGAAGAGGACTCACAAAGGTACTACTGGGGTTTCATCATCTCGACCTGATAGACAGAGTCCCACAGTCTCAACGAGGAGACATAAAGCAGCGAGTTTAGCCCCTTAAGAGGACCAATCCCAGCATGGTCCCCCAGATCACTTTGAGGATACTATAGAGGTTGAAGATGTAGCTGAAGGTGTAGCTGTTACTCATGATAGTAATGTTGAGGTAGATGTCGAGTCTACTGAGCCATCTCGAATATGTCTCATTAATCCATCTTTACTTACGAGTTTTAAACTCACATAACAGCTGAATAACCAGATAAGTCGTTTTACTGTAACAATGGAAAGCAGAATATAAGTCTGGTTCATGGTAATTAACCTAAATTTTATTTTATTTTATTTTAATTTGACTAGGAATGTGAGCCCCTTAGGTGCATGTCGAAGACATCTACCCTTCGTAAGTAGAATTGGTGGGCTAATCCAAACAATGGTATATTCAAATGGTACATTCAGAGGTCTGGATTAGAGCAACTTATGAATGTAGATAAAATTGTTGTATCTACCTTCGTTGAGAGTAAAGTCAAAATAGCTTACATTAAATTTGTGGTTGACAATAAGTTACTGAAAAAATAAATGTATTTCGGTTGGTTGCCACTGAATTGTAGGTAAAAATTCGGTAATAAACCACCGAACACCGTTCCATGTTACGGTGGATCTCCACCGCATCTTAAGTTAACGACTAGTCAAACACAACCGAAATATGTGCAATGTTTCTTTGGCATACCACTGAATTTACCTATCGCATTTGGTACTGGTGTGTTGAACGCAACCAGTGACCATTATGAAATCCTAAACTTGATAAATACCAAAAAATAAACTCATACCTCATTCGAAGCCTCTCTAACTTCAGTCTCACCCTTCATGAATAAATACAATATATTTTTTCACCAATATAAGTGTATAAACCTCTTTAAGGTTGTAAGAACGTGATGGTTTGAGAAAAAAGTCTAACTATGGTTACAAGAACATATGTGGGGTGTAGAGAGCAAATTTAATTTATATTTTAAATATTTTTTTGTCCTTAACGGTAATTATGTACAAGAATAAAATAAGTTATTCATGTTTAAAATTAGTATGGTGTGCAAAGAGCAAATAATAGGGTGCCAATAAAATCACCCATTAAGAAAAGAAGGCGGCCTTAGAATAGTGAAATTAACAATGGAAAAGGAAGGCATATTAGAAGACCTCATAATTTGTAATATTCCATTTTGGACACAGAATAAGAGGTGCAATTCAAGTTCATCCCTTAAAAGATTACACAACACAACAACAGAGAAAATTCTCTCAAAAATGACTACTACCGAGTTTCTTGGTAATTGGCCAAGTTGAATTATGATTTGACCGGAAACTGCCGCTAGAGAAGGCAAGGATGATAACATTGCCAACCTGGGCAGCCAGGACACCAGTTCCGGAATTCTCAGTCAGACTACATTCTAACTTCTACTAAGTCACAAAACCTTACTGAAGAAGGCAAGGATGATAACACTTGCCCTTTTCTGGGCCTTTATGAAGCTTTTCAATAGCTACTGTACACTAAAATGGTAATATGGCAAGCTGTATGGCAGCCAATTCGCGAGATATGTTGAGTTTCTTTTCTTCTTTTTTAATTACGAACCCAAATTAAGCACACGAGCATATGTCTGTGCAGTCGGCTTGCCATTTTTCGTCCCCCGGGATCCGGTGTTATGGTAACATGGGATCACCAGATGACGCAAGCATATGTAACTCTGCTTCCTTGGCTGCCCGTTCACTAGTAAAATCTACTCTTGAATCACCTGCAGATATTAGAGACTAAATTTTAATCGACTAAGATTCATAACAGAATAACATCAGATAATACCACTAAAGTAATAAGATCCTGCAAACAAGAACAAAGCATTAGACTCATTAGGTGGACAGTTAGGTGATATACTTTTCTGTCCAATCTACATTTCCATGAAAGCAAAGGCTGGATTTCATACTAACAAACAAAAGCCACATCGACAAAATTATCAACAAAATAATGTTATTAAAAGAAAAAAGATTAACCTATAAGAAATTCATGATGTCACCATTTTCATTTCTAAGTTTCTAACCATGTGCTACCTCTCCCTCTAAAAGAGGTTTGGGTTTAACCTCAGGAGGGAAGAGATTTGACGAGGGGGGCAGTACACCCCACCGAGTGAATGTTGCCATTTGATTATTCCATCACTACTATTTTGTCTGAAATGAATTCCAGACATGGCAAGCCCAGCATATTGTCTACCCACAACTGAAGCGTAAGATGGGGGTTTTGGAATTCACACAGGACATTCATTTTCACCATCAACGTGTATTATGCAAATGAAAATAAAATTCATTGCCAAAACGAGTATAAACTGAAGCCAATGTCATCGCCACCCCTATGCAAAGTCAAACATGAAGTCAATCTTGTATTTCTCTAGTACACAGACAAGAACAGCATACACTCAGGTGACGGATGCAACCCCAATTGAGCATGAAAAATCCTCTCACTCAGAAGCACATGGATACTGATCAAATAAAAAAAACTAGTCGAAAATGCTTTTATGAGTCACAAAATTCCTCCCTCGTGCCATGAGGAAAGAAATAGAAACAGAAAATAACGACCAGTCACCAATGGAGTCACGATTGCATACCAAAAACTTGGCGAAGCCCCTTTACAGCATCAAAGTTCTTGTATGTATAGCCAACAAAGCTTAGATCTTTGGGAGTCAATTGCAACTGCATGAAATTATAAGGCGATAAGGATGAACAGTCATACATTCGTACTACATTATAAATTCCTTCAAAACGTGGCATGAGTTCGTATGAAAAGGCTATTGCAGATTTTGGTGGATCCTCTGGAAAATAGACATGAGACCTTTAAAGATAACAAAAGGGCAATTGTAATTTAAAGACCTTTGTTGCCTAACAATGCATATTCATTTTGAAAAAATGCTACACAAGATGAGAGATAAGCAAAAGCCAGTTGAGACTGATTTTCTACAACCAAATCCCCGTCACAAAATTTAAAAACAGAATTTCTGACATCAAATGGCGCTACTGCAGATTTCACAGTGGCTGGCTAATGTTTACAATTTTAACTTGAGAAACCGCATCACAAAGAAAAATACAAATAAAAAAGGAAACACAGAGAAAAATTTGAAATTTTTTTTTAATGAAATCCAGGTAGGATATTTTCTTTTCCCTATGGAACGTCTACTGGGTTGTCTCTTCAAAGGGACAGATAATCATAATACCAACTGACTATGCAAAGTATTACATAACATGTCTTATATAATGATGTATGCATATCATGAGAACATAAACAGTATGCATAGTTTACAAACCTTTCGTGAGGGACCTGAGCCAGTTCTTGATGACACCGGAGGCTCCAACTAAGCACAAATGCAAAAGATGTAGGAAATCAATAAACACATTATGTTTCACAGTGACGTAATGAAGCTTCTAGATATCACATAAATGAAAGCATATAGGAGTTAAAAAGGTGTAAATTAGTGGAACTGTTATAGAAGTAATATTAGTAGAAGAAACAATAATGTTGGTGCAAATATAAAGAAACCATGAAATAAGAAAATATAAGGATGATATTGTATAATACCTCATCAAACTTCATAAAGTTCTGGGTATCAAGTTCCCCATTCACTTCTGGTTTGAATGCTGCCTCCATTTCATAGAGTTTGTCCCACACAATGTTCTTGAACCAAGGATGAGACTGATACAACATAGTTATACAATTATAAGGCAAAGAACATATCGATGTGAGGATCCCGAAAAACATTTTATTTAAATATTAGAGCCTTACTTTGATTTGATGTGCGCCACCAGTACCTAGCCTATATTCAACATCACAGAGCAACCTGCAAATAAGATCCTTAGCCTCAGCTGTCAACCTTGCATCTTCTGGAAATTTTAAGTGGTTTCTCCAATGAACAATCTGACAGAAATTAACAAATACAGTGAGGAGAACTTTGTATATGAAACTGAAGTGACCTTAGCTCACACCTATGACTCACCATGGAAACTTTGCACTCAGAGTTATGTGAGGAGTATCATGTTACCTTTCTGCATGTAGTTATTGGATCATCTGAATAAAATGGAGGGTAACCAACAAGCATTTCATACATTATTGCTCCCAATGACCACCTAAATCAAACAATGCATATCACCAACCAAAAAAGATGACAGAAGACGAGAGATAATAAAATATTCAATTATCAGTTACCAGTCGCATTCCATTCCATATCCTTTCTTCAATAGCACTTCAGGTGCAATATAGTCGGGGGTCCCCACAGTTGAAAATGCCTATCCATAAAAAAGGAGGGAGAGAGAGGGGGGGTTGGGGGGGAGATATAGTGAGGGAAACGTTTTAAGGGGTAAGGCTGAAAATGTATTGCAAAAACAAGTCAGCATACCAACTTCCTCCTGTTCATCTGCCAATGCTGCAGCTGTTCACGGGGGCTTTTCCAACTACTCCTATTATCCGCATCAGGAACGCATACGTCGATATCCATTGGTTCTGTCAAATTTTCATCATCCATAGTTCTATTTTCATGCAGTGCAGGTAAAGTTGTACAATCAAGAGGCTTACAGAGGCCAAAATCCGAGAGTTTCATGTGACCATTTTTATCCAGAAGAAGGTTGTCTGGTTTAATGTCTCTGAAAAGGCAGTGAATACAAAGTGGTGAGACAAGACTAAATACCTAAGGCATACAAATATCAACCCAAAATAATACATCAACCAACAAATATTTTGATAACAAAAGAATAATTTAATAACATGAGAGTAATATTTGTCTTCAACCTGTGTACATAGTTGTGTTTCTGGATAGATTCAATGGCCAGTACACTCTGTGCAATGTAAAATTTAGCCACACTTTCAGTTAAGGTGTCTTCCCTCATCAGCAGAGTCATCATGTCACCACCGGGCAGATATTCCATTATTAAATATAAGTACTCAGCATCCTGAAAGGAGTAGTAAAGTTTAACTATGCAATGGCTGGCAACTTCAGCCAGCAAGTTTCTTTCAGCTCTAACATGTTCCACCTACAAGGGAAAATGAAAAAATATGACCAGCAATAGTTCAATGAAGAAAATCTTAGAACGAGTTCCAGTGGTAGGTTTGAAACAAAGTCACATGTATGGTCTTACCTGTCCTCTCTTAAGCATTTCAGATTTCTTCAACTTTTTCATGGCATAGATATTGCCAGATTTTTTCTCTCGACACAATCGGACCTGTAGTTTGAGCATGCATTAGGAAAGGTATGCTACTATCAGCAATTGCATTTGGAAAATATATAAGTAGCAAATAGAACAAGCATAGTTTCTGAAATGAAAGCTAACTTTAAGCTCACATGATCCAATGAACACTGAAAAGCTTAGTACATTTACATTCTTAAGGATACTATGTTCAATACTGACCTCACCAAAGGCTCCCCTACCAATGATGGTCAAAGGCTCAAAATCATCAACACAAATCTTGTGCCTTTTAAGTCGCATGAATTCTGTTTCCTTTCGCTCTAAGTCTTTGATCAGGTTGACTTGTACCTCCTTTGGCACATCTGAGGAAGCTAATTTCCTTTCCAATACCCATCGTCTGCAACAAAAAGAAACATCATGTCAGTAATTCCTTAGTTGCATCTTTGAACTAAAACATTTTGCAGTGTCCTTGAAAGATTTTCACCAGAATATTTAAATCTTAAGAATACAACACAGGGCAGTAATACCTATGAAAAAGCAAATTTTAGAAACTGAATAGAATATGCACACATGATCTATCACATATCAGAAGATACCGACTCAATTGTTCATGCAAAGTTGCAGTGTTTGAGAAGAGAAGTTTCTTATTTAGGGTTACCTATCC